GTCCACGCCAGTGAAGGCCTTTTGGCGTAGAGATTTTGAGAAGGGTAAGAAGTGGAAGGGCCATACCATTTCAGGACAGGTTAAGGGGAAGGATAGCCTGTTCCTGACTTTGGATGAGGGAGGAATGGAGGAGGTCCTGTATAGTGAGATAGAGTGGGGCCTCGAAGAGGAAGTTAGGAGTGTAGGTCAGGGGAGGTCCTATGCTGCTGTCGCGGCTGGAGGGAGGCCACAAGGAAGAGGAGGAGGCCGGGTCCAAGGGGGGCCGGGCCTCCAATGGTCGAGGACAGGACGATCAGGGGGTTGGCGGAAGGGGAAACCACCAAGAGGGAGGCTGGGGTCAAGGTCCGCGACAAAACCGTCCACGTTCTAATCGGTCACCTTATAGGAGGGGTGGATGGCACCCTGGCTTGCCACAGGGCAGGCCTTGGGAGGACTTGGGGTCTCGATCAAAAAGTATGGCAGAAAAGGACAGACCAGGATCAATGCATTTACTGCGGTGATCCAGGTCATATTATCAAATACTGCCCAAAGTATAGAGAGGCCTCATTTGTTGCACAAGCAGCAAAAGGCAACCGCCGGTAGGGGTCGCAACTGCCCTTACCCCTAGACAAATGTGGAGAAGAGTGCGAGCACCATAGAGAAACTCCCAACCCACATGTGTCTATGGCAGAGGTTGCTGGCCAATGCCTAGACAGTTGTCCAGAGACTGCTTGTGTTAGGGTCTCTCTAGGCACTTCCCTCACAGGTGTGGTAGAAGAATTGAAGGAGAGAATGCTTGCGTGGGCCAAGATGAAGAAGGATGGGAAAGGACTAGTATTGGTAGATGTAGAGATTTTTAGAGGCAGAGTACGGGCCCTTATAGACAATGGGGCTACCCATAGTTATATTAGTCGTAAAAGGCTACAAAAGCTGAAGCTGAATCTGAAGGTCCGAAAGTTAGAGGAACCTATAGTCAACATCCTCGCAGACAATCGCACAATGCGAGTCGAGGCTTACGTCGAGGGAGTCCAGGCTTATTTTCGCCTAGAGAAAGATGGGAAGGTAGAAAGAGTTTTCCATTCCCTGACTCTCCTCGTAGAAGACAACCTCCCGTTTGATATAGTCTTAGGAATGGACCAGGGAGAGGCAGCAGGGGCCACACCTCATTTGAGAGAGCATGAGTGTAGGCTCCCAAGCCCTTCAGGTGGAGTCAAGATTGCCCGCTTGTTTCATGTATCAGGGGTAGAGAACCCTTTAGTGCATTGCTGCCTCAACGCTCCTGCATTTGCAAGGTTAGTGAGGAAGGAGAAGCTAGAAGAACAGGTTTTCGTTGCCTATGTTAGAACAATCACTGAGCCTAAGTCCGAAGAGCTACAGGAGTAGCCGATCCAGCACCGAATCGAGATAGAACCTGGCAGTAGAACTCCCAAAGGAGCGGTGTATAGAATGTCCCCAAGGGAGTTAGAGGAGCTGCGAAAGCAGTTAGACGAGCTCCTGGAGAAGGGTTGGATTAGGCCCAATTCGTCCTCATTTGGAGCGCCTGTTCTGTTTGTCCCCCAAAAGGAGGGAGAGTTGAGAATGTGTATACACTATAGGGGTCTCAATGCCATCACAGTGAAGAACGCAGAACCACTGCCTCGAATAGATGATATGTTGGATCGAGTGCAAGGCTGCCGATACTTCTCTAAGATAGATTTGAAGTCAGGCTATGATCAGATAGATGTTCATCCTGATGATCAGCACAAGACGACGTTCAGGACCAGATATGGACACTATGAGTTTATAGTGATGCCCTTTGGACTAACCAACGCGCCAACTACTTTTCAATGTTGTATGAATGATTTGTTAGGCCGTGGTTAGATAGATTTGTGGTTGTATATCTAGATGGCATCCTAGTGTTTAGTGAGACCCTCCGAGACACTAAGGTGGCTGAAAACGCAGGCCAAGGTGACACCAGAGCTAACTAGGTGGGCCGCAGAGATAGATCGGTATGATTTTGAGCTAAAGCCAGTCAAAGGGAAATACAATGTAGTTGCGGACGCTCTGAGTAGGAAATCAGACTACTTTGGAGCGTATCTGGATATAGGGAGAGACCTGCAGCAGAGAGTCAAAGAAGAGTATGCGCAAGACTCTATCTATAGCGACCTCCTCAAGAGAGTTAAGGAGGCACGGAAATTAGAACCAGATTACCGCACTACAGACACGCGTTATTTGAGAAGACTAATGTTGTTGACCGCCTATGCGTCCCCAATAGTGAAGATATCCGAAGCTTGATCTTAGGGGAATGCTCTGATACAGAGGGACATTTCGGTTGGCAGAAGACATTAGCCAACCTCATGCGTGCGTACACTTGGCCTGGTATGAAGGCCGACTGCATAGAATACGTACGCAATTGCAAAGTATGTAAAAGGAACAAGACTACTAGGCGAGCCCCTCTAGGTCTTCTCAGACCATTGCCTATCCCAGAAGGACCCAGAGATTCAGTGTCTATAGATTTCATGGACGCTAGTGTCAAAAGTAGACATGGCAAGAGTTAAGTCATGGTCGTAGTAGACAGGTTTAGCAAGTATGCCATTTTCGTTCCTTTGCCTTCTGAGGCACGCATAGATTTAGTGATCCGAAAGTTTTTCGGCCATTGGGCCAGTGAACATGGACTACCGTTGTCTATAGTTAGTGACAGAGACACCCGGTTCACTAGTCAGAATTGGCAGGAATTAATGAAAGTCTACGGATCAAAGTTGTTAATGTCGTCTGGCCGTCATCCAGAGACCAACGGACAGACCGAACAAATGAACAACGTCATTCAGCAAGTTTTGAGGATGTACATTAGGCCTGATCAACTGGACTGGGATGAGATGCTCCCAAAAGTAGCGAGTGCCTACAATAATAGCGTGCACTTAGCCACTTGTCGCACTCCCAATGAGCTACATAAGTCTTTTAAACCACGCAGACCGTTTGAAGGACTTAACCGGGATCCAATTAAGAGGTTACCGCCCGGTACCAGGGAGTTTGCGATTCAGCACGAGAAGGAGATAGCTACAGTAGTTGAGAACCTCAGGAAGGCCCAAAACAGAATGATAGAACAAGCCAACAAACACCGTCGCCCTTCACAGTTCCAAGTCGGCGACCTAGTCTGGGTCAAGTCGAAAGAGTTTGCTCCTGAGGAGAACATCTCGCAAAAGCTGCTACTTGCTTATAGAGGACCGTGGCCAGTCCTAGAAGTCAAGGGCGGAGAGGATGGACCATCCTACATGATAGAGATTCCAGCACACCTCCACACCTACCCAGTTTTCCATGCATCAAAGTTGTTACCTTGTACAACGAGTCAACAATTTCCATCGCGAAGGTCTATGATTCCTCCGGATATGGATGGCAGATACGACATTGATGGCATAGTAGGTGAGGATGTCTTCAGAACAGGAGGTAGAGGTCGTCCACAGAAACAATACAAAGTCAGATTCTCTTATCAAGAACCTGAAGACAACCGCTGGTTCACCAGAGCAGAACTTCTAGAGACAGCTCCCAATATAGTCCGAGCCTATGAGAGAGATAAGAAGGGTAAGGGTCCGGCCTTGGGCTGAAGTATTCTCGGAGGACCTCGAATTTAGGCCGGCGGGAGTGAAACGGTTTTCACCTTTGCAGAAGCAGATGCAGATCCCAAGGTTCGATCCCTGGACCTTACCTGCACCCGTGTACAGTATCGAGTAGACTCCTGTGTGTTTTGAACCCGCGACCTGTGTTTTAGTAGTGACTGTACCTTGTCATTGGTCCCTGTAGTTGTAGGGGTTCGATCTGTAGATCTGTCAAGTAGGGGTTACAGATGTGTAGAGGTCGAAACTGGTGGCTAGAGGTCTGTAGGCAACTCGTAAGTCCAACTGCGTCGAGTCAATGGGTCCGAGATTGCAGAGGACGGTTGTGATGATGAATGGTTTACGACCCGTCAATGGGTCCGAGATTGCAGTATCATCAGAATGACATCTTGCCTGTATTTATGGAAACTGACAAATGTTAAAATGAGGCACAGATGGGGGATGACTGCATATGCATGGACCCCGCCTGTGCCCTGGTCATCCTTCACAATTGGAGTTAGGGCATTCTCACACTCGGCGCTCAAAATAGCAAAATTGGAAAATGAGCGGGCAGATCCAGTCCTTCGATTACAAGGCGTCAATCTGGCCACTCATTTTGAGGTTTTACGATTTCCAGGGCATCGTGTGGGTGTGCCTGTAGGGGGTAGTGTCTGCACGAAGACGTTCGGGTTGGTCCGGTAAGCGTTGGCGCAGATATCATAACTTGCAATGTGAGCTTTAGCATATGGGTCATGGTACCATAATGGTGCCATCTGGAGGTGACTTCCCCTGGGGTCCCTGCAATCCATCTGACCTCCCAATGGATGAGTACTATGGGCACCTCCTGAGGCCTGGCCACCACCCTCTACTATACCCTGGACCTTTTTTTTTTTGTTTGAGATGTTGTGTTTCTTCAACCCATATTTTTTTTTTTTTTTTTTCCCAACCCGTATCCATTATTGCTCCTTTGAGAGAAGTTTGTGTTGATATCGAGTGACATCAGTGATGCATTCCATTTGGGTTTTTGCTCAATTACTTGGCTTTTTCTTCAGCGAAGCCATCACTTCGCAGATTTACACACATGTGACTGTTCATGAAATGGGGCTGGCTCTCTCTCTCTCTCTCTCTCTCTCTCTCTCTCTCTCTCTCTCTCTCTCTCTCTCTCTCTCTCTCTCTCTCCTCTCTCTTCTCTCTCTCTCTCTCTCTCTCTCTCTCTCTCTNCTCTTATACACATCTAGATGTGTATAAGAGACAGGACTCTCTCTCTCTCTCCTCTCTCTCTCTCTCTCTCTCTCTCTCTCTCTCTCTCTCTCTCTCTCTCTACTACGAACCAACCATCTGACGAGGTACGAGTAGTGAAGGTGGGTTTTGCTTCTTCAACCTTCTTGTCTCCTGTCTCCTGTTAATCCTGATACTCACTGCTTTTTCTGTTTGTTGCACTTTTGGATGCAGGCCGTCACCGATCTTTCTCATATTTTCGATCATCCTATGCGCGATTCCAGGGATAGCCTCGCTCGTAGTGGCAGTTCCAAACTTTGGCGAATGCGACAAGAAGGTCCCTTTGTTCCTAGTGATTTTTGCGGCCCTTGATATGTTATACCTCTTTTTCGCCTTCTATCTTTACCATAGGTTCAGCAAGCCGTACGACCCCACACGCCCACATGAGCGCAACCCATTTAGCAGGTGAGTATGCCATCAATTATGACTGCTGATCAGTTTGACAGTCCGCTGCCATAGTCTCTGTCTGTCTCTTATTTATTTATCCCATTTTTTCAGTCTTTGCAGGTTTTGGGGTTTTCCTATTTTCTCTCATGATTCTCTAGATTCCTTGTCTGTATTTGTGAGTGCATTCAGCATGTGGATGGGTGGATGGATGGATGGACGAATGGACGGATGGATGGATGGATGGATGGATGGATGGATGAACGGATGGGCGGATGGATGGATGGATGGACAAATGGGTGGACGGATGGGCGGATGGATGGATGGGACAGGTGTACGGATACGCAGAGTGGAGGGATGGACGAGCAGAGGGACAGATGAATGGATTATTAAGGGAGGGCTAGGATGGATGGATGGATGGATGGATGGATGGACGGATGGACGGATGGATGGACGGATGGATGGATGGGTGGGTGGATGGGTGGGTGGATGGATGGATGGACGGATGGACGGATGGACGGATGGACGGATGGGCTGATAGACGAATTGGAGCGATGGATGTGTTCAGTATGGTGTATAGTTGATTAAGGGAGGGCTAGGATGGATCGATGGAGGGATGGACGGATTGGAGGAACGGATCGGAGGGACAGAGGAATGGAGGGATGGATGGACGAATGGATGGATGGATGGATGGGTGGATGCATTTGGTACGGCGGCCATGATGGATGGATGGACAGATTCGAGGAACGGAGGAATAGAGGAGCGGGTGGACGAATGGATGAATGGGCGGCCATGATGGATGGATGGACAGATTCGAGGAACGGAGGAATAGAGGAGCGGGTGGACGAATGGATGAATGGACGGATGGATGGATGAATTGGATGGATGGATGGAGTATGCGTTAAAGTGCGGGCGATGTGGCAAATGCATGTGATGTTTTTGCGACGAATGAAGGGAGGATAGAAACCTGCGGATGAAGTCTCTCTCTGTGTGTGTGTGTGTGTGTGTGTGTGTGTGTGTGTGTGTGTGTGTGTGTGATACATGCCCGGTTGGGCAATGTATATGGCGCCAAGGATCCGCAATGTGATGAAAAGGACTGAATGGACAATGCAATGTCAGTGAAACATCAACAATCAATGTACATCCTGATACATACAAAATGGCACAAAGTAGCGCAGTGGAAGACTCAAAGCTAAGTCCTGACCTGACCGGGACCGACGCGACATCCCATCATTCACCACACATGTGAGAGGAGGAGGGACCGCACACATAGAAGAAAGGTCCCTCCTTGTACATGCACATGGCGGAGATATCACGGATGAGAGAGGGAGGCGACCAAGATCGCGATAGCGAAGTCCAAAAATAGTCCCTTGCCGAATGTCCAATCAATGCCTGCCTCAAAAATGTCGGATCAGATCCTGGGCGCTATGCCCACTGTAACCTCTGCCTGTATCCTCTGCCTGTAATCTCTCTCTCTCTATCGTATCTGAAGAAGAAGAAGAAGAAGAAGGAAGGAAGGAGGTAGGAGGAGGAAGAGAGGAGGAAGAGAGGGAGACCGATGAAAAGGTGTTACCTCCCTCGCTGCCTCACCTGCAGGTGCCAACGTCGAACTGACCGCCGGTGCCGTCGTGTGCAGGTCGCGTGTGCACGGGGAGTCCCAGCTATGGCGCCAGGTAAGTCCCCTCTGTTGCAGGTATGGCCTCCGCCCGTCTGCCTTCTGATGCTCAGCCTCTATCTCAGTAGCGCAGTGCTGAACCAGCAGTGTGTCGCTCAAGAAGTGAGCTACCCGAACTGTCCACTGCCCAGGTTGTGGCCCTGCTATATACCGCGCTGGGCCTCACTGGGTAGGCTGCTGTGTGGCCTACAACAGCCTGCACAGTCGGGGTCCCTACCAGGTTCCCAGACCGTGCTGCTGATGCAGCGAGACGCAGACCTGCACCTGGGCCTTGTTGGCCCTGCCTCCGGTGCACCCAGCCCAAGGCTGTGCCTTGGGGACTGCAAGTCCGAAACGACGTCTGAACAGAAAGGTAGGACAGCACATACAAAAATAAATAAATACAAGGGGATGCCCGCCACAGATGCGGCGGGGACCATGAGCGGGGGACTAAAAGGCAGGAAAAAAAGAACACACATTGGAATGAATCTTCCCACTTTGTAGCGGAAGATTCGTTCCGATTTTGTTCTGGTGCGTTGGTCATCCAATCCATGGAAAACTCTCTCTCTCTCTCTCTCTCTCTCTCTCTCTCTCTCACACACACACACACAC